GATAATCAACTTCCCGCAAAGCAGATATTTCTATTTTATGATACAAATTTCAGTTTTCTATGATAATCTACTTGCAAAAAATTAGGTAATATTTCCAAAATTCGTATCTTCTTTCCTCGAAAGTCGATAATCTACTTTCCTGAAAAGTAGGTCTATTTGAGCTGGGAAAGTATACAATCAACTTTCCCGGAAAGTGCAGATATTTCCCATTTTTATGATACAAATTTCCCGTTTTCTATGATAATCTACTTCAAAAATTAGTAATATTTCCTAAAATTCGGAAAATTACTCCCCGAAAAGTCGATAATCTATTTTCCCGAAAAGTAGATATTTTTGATTTTTTAGTAGATAACTTAACCTCTTTCCGAAAGCAGATATTTCATTTTTATGAGATACAAATTTCCCGTTTCTATGATAATCTACCAAAATTAGGTAACATTTCAAATTCGAAAATCTACTCCCCGAAAAGTCGATAATTCACTTTCCAGTGCGGAAAATTATTTACGAAAGTAGATAACCAACTTTCCCGGAAAGTAGATATTTCCCATTTTTATGATACAAATTTCTCAGCTTATGATAATCGTTTCTGCAAAATTAGGTAATATTTCCAAAAATTCGAAAAAATCTACTTCCGAAAGTCGAGATAATCTACTTTCCCGAAAAAGTAGAAAATCTTTTTCACTTTTCGGTAAATCAACTTTCCGGAAAGTAGATATTTCCATTTTATGATGCAAATTTCCGTTTTCTATGATAATCTATTTCGCAAAATTAGGTAATATTTCCAAAATTCGGTAGAAAAAATCTACCCGAAAAGTCGATAATCTACTTTCCCGAAAGAATTCATCTACTGAAAGTGATAAATCAACTCTTCCCGGAAAGCAGGACATTTCCCCATTTTTATGATACAAATTTCCCTGTTTTATGATAATCTACTTCGCAAAATTAGAAAAATATTTTGGGTATTCTGCACCCATTTCCGGAAGTTGATAATCTACTTTCCCGAAAGTAGAAAATTCTTGGTTCAGCTGCTGGGAAAGTAGATAACCAACTTTCTCCAGAAAGTAGATATTTCCCATTTTTATGATACAAATTTCGTTTTCTATGATAATTTACTGCAAATTAGGTGATATTTCCTGTACTGAAAATCTTACTTCCTAAAAAGTTTATAACTTACTTTCCTAAAAGTAGAAAATTCATTCACTCTACTTTCCGAAAGTAGAAAAATCTATCTACTTTTCGAAAGTAGATAACCAACTTTCCCGAAAGTAGATATTTCCATTTTATGATACAAATTTCCTGTTTTCTATGATAATCTACTTCGCAAAATTAGGTAATATTTCAAAATTCGAAAATTCCATTCCCCGAAAGTCGATAATTCATTTCCGAAAGTAGATATTTCCCATTTTTTATGATACAAATTTCCCGTTTTCTATGATAATCTACTTCGCAAAATTAGGTGATATTTCCCCCAAAATTCGAAAATCTACTTCCCCGAAAAGTCGATAACCTACTTTACCGAAAAGTAGAAAATCTATCTACTTTTCGGAAAAGTAGATAACCAACTTTCCCGGAAAGTAGATATTTCCCATTCATTTGAGGCCCGCGTTCGAGTTCCGGCATTTCTCTTTTTTTTTTCTGTTTTTAGTTTTTTGTTATGGGACACAATTTTCGCTGTATTATATCCTAAAAGTTAATTAAAAGTGAAATTGGGCCATAAATTTGACGTTTTTAGGTATTTTAATGTATATTCATGTTCGAAGCTTCAAATGCTTCAATGAAGCATCAAAATGATTCAATGAAGCTTCGTGACGTCACTCTCAACCTTCATATATATAGTCTTAACTAACTAATTTTCGCCCCAGTCTTCACCGACCATCACCACTCACTGGCTGCAGCTGACAACAGGTAAGCCCGAGCTGCCCCACACCTCGAGTCTCCATAATATACGTGTAATATTTTTCCCCGACTGTCTATAGAGTGTTAGAGGGGTGTGTAGTGTGTTGAAGGGGTGTTAGAGGGGTGCTCAGCAGGCCTCCAGTCACAGCTGCTCAGTGGGCCTCCAGTCACAGCTGCTCAGTGGGACTCCAGTCACAGCTGCTCAGTGGGACTCCAGTCACAGCTGCTCAGTGGACCTCATTACAGCTGCTCAGTGGGGCTCGTTACAGCTGCTCAGTGAGCCTCCAGTGTACAAAACACTGAATAAGGTTAGATAAACATGCATTGTTTTATATTTTATTCATGGTAAAATCTGATCTGTACACAGTACACAATATCCACATAATCTTCATCAGCCGGAAGCTGGAACCTTTAAAATGTGTGCAAACTCTGCACAATAACAAATTCAAATGTCTTGTATACCCTAGTGACCAAAGTCTGGCACTTACAGTACCATGTATGTAGATTTAAATAAACATGTCAACCATTTGAGTCAGTTTCCCAGTAAATGCTTGAACATTTTCTCAATCATTATATATATATATATATATATGATTCAAGTGCCACACTTATAAAATTATTAATCGCATTCTTCTGCACTGTTAAGGCAAAAAAATCTGTGAACATCTTAATCAAACCCTCAAACTTTTGACTACCCCTTCCACAGCATCGACAACCACATTCATGAAAGCTCCTCCACCCCATTCAAATATATCAGGTCCAACACCACCATGGTATCATTCCACATCCAGTCTACTATTATTTCTTTCATTCATGGAAAATATTCATCAATTATACTTTCAAACTGTCAACACTATGTTCATAACTAATTGCAAAACCAACTCACTCACATAATACTCTGTAACATGTGAATCTCCTATTCGGAATAATATGGATATAGCTGAATGACATCCATAGTCACATAAATAAATAATGTAGCAAACTTAATGAGGTAAAACCATATGAAAAAGATATGCCAAGGAAGTGACAGAATAAAACAAGTGCACAAGACTACATACATCAGCCATAAAACTAATAATATTGATGCAAAATTACAGGTGATGACATGGTATGCAGACGAGAGACAAGCAGCAATGGCAAGAGTTCCTGTGCCAACCATCCATAACCTGAGTAGTACTTATAAACAATTCTGAGCAGAAGGCAAGTTGTTGCTAGTAGTGGTGTCCCCGACGTGCGGCGACCAGTCTGGATTGCCTGACGTTTGCACAATGCAGGAAGGCCGTGGAGCAGTGGCAATATGGACAAGACAGAAAACAGCAGTAAGGCACAACAAGCAGTTCACATCTGCTTGTATGAGAGAGACCTGCAAGACACCGGTTCTTGTACTCTGCTCAAACCAACACTCATGCATACACGTTAAGGGATGGATGATTTGAACTTGTGTATGGGAGCCATCATCATCTTATTAGTGAGCTATTTACATGACAAGGCCTTCAAGAATGGGACCTCTGGCAGTGTACAAAATGTTATCTTCATAAATAAATTTGAGAGAAAAAAAAAAAACTGATGAATTTTCATTCTTTCCTCTCCCAAACTACAGATATATCTTACAAATGATCTGAACATCTTTTACAAGTAAATTAATGAACATGTGAATGTGATGCAATAAAAATAAAGGATATTCTAATCATATACATTATATATATACTGTATATATATTATATAAATTTCCAAGACAATAATGTTTGGAGTTCTTACAGCAGCACACACACCTGACCTTCCCTAATACTGTATCACATTTTGAATTTGTATTTCTATAACAACTCTACTAGTGTGCACAGTACAATAATTATGGCTACACCTACTGTATTTGTTTTTTCTTAAATTTGGGAGACAATTTAATGAAACTATAATCTGTCTTGTTTAAATGCCAACAACTGTGATGTCAAGTAAATACTGCTTCAAACTGCAGCCTTCGTCTAAATCTGTATTTATGTTAAAAACCAATGGAAGCAAAAGTGTTTGAATTTAACTTAATTTACTTTCAGTCAAGAGAATAATTTGAATATTTATTTATATGGTGACAGGAAGAAAATAAATTACTACTAACAAATCATAAAAATATAATTTGAAGGTTGGTTACAGCAACCTACCTTTCTCAGTGTTAATCAATGATTGCATTATAATTTTTAGAGGTTTACACTTTTACTTTGTTGTAAACAATCTATGCTCTAACACAGTACAAGAGGCCCCCCATATTCGCGGGGGTTAGGTTCTCAAAATGGCCAAGAATCCTGAAATCCTCGAATAACAATTGCAGACCGGGGGGGAGAAGGTTACATATTTACTTGTGTACAAAGAAATGTTTATTCCTTTACCTTTATGTGTTTGCCCTTAGGACAATTATTTATTTTACATGTATTGTATATACTGTATGTGTGTACACATACAAATAAATAATGATTGGAAAATCCTCTCACAAATAATCATAAGCAAATTATTAAAAATGTGAGTCTACCCTTAAGTCCGTGCTTTATAAATAAAATAAAGCACGGACTTAAGGGTAGACTGTCACTTTTTAATAAATTTGTGAGAGGATTTCCCATTCATTATTTATTTGTATGTGTTTTGTGTGTGTGTGTCTACACACAAACACACCCATATTAACAATACAGGTAAAGGAAATTACTGTCTCTAGAACAAATGGCTCGCTGTCCCAGCCGCAAAAATTCCGTCAACTTTAAAACTACCCACATACATTCTTGGGTACATCCAGGGTGTCATCTGCGAATAATAGAGGACAGCGAAATAAAAATCCACAAACTTTGGAGGCCTCTTGTATGTACGAATTAAAATTTTATTTTAGTATATAAAAAAGACAAATGGCAAGACAATATGACAATTACATTATGAATTCAATCTTACCAAAAATATCTGAATACTGTACTATGAATAAATTATACAGGATAGCATTCTCAGAATACTTGCACACAAGAACTGAAAACAGCAGTCCATGTTATCTCCTGCTTGCCAACAGGTATTAGGTAGAAGTTAGGGGTGTTTTGTTATCAAAACGTTGATTGAATTACATTATATTACAACTTTCACGGTACAGCATTTAGCAATTTTATACAATCCTAAATACAGCATTAAACAGGGCCTCTGAGGAGACAAACTACTATTAAGTCACAGATCACATATTTAGTGTGTTACAATAGCTAAAAATGTTCAGTTATACATTGCTGACTATGCAACAGCTGCATGTAACATATGTGACCAAGTGGCTCTCTAGCAAGACCTGATATATCTAGATACAGTATATTCTTAGTCTCTACGATCCCAATGTTTATACCTTTCCTTGTGTTTCTTGTGAAATTTATGGTCGCGTTTACCAAACCTGTTCCAAGATTTGTTGCGCTGCTGGTAGTTATTACGGCTTTTGTCCCATTGTGAATGTCTTGGGTGTTGGTTGTTGAAATGTGGGCTGGTGTACTGGTATGGACTATGGTTGTGAGGCGTCCATGACCCTGAGTTACGGAAGTCTTGGACCTTTTGAAAATCATTTCCCGAGTCCCGGTCCCAGCGTTGAGACTCCCAACTCTTCTTTACAGTTTTCATCTTCTTGGTCTATTATACAAAAGACATCAATCAATTATATTACAGCAACTATACTCTACAACTATCTACAATTATTCTTTCTTTCTTGTACTGTAGCTAGATTGTTATTTAGAGCAGTAAGATGAATATCCCTCTTTTATTGAGACAAAATTACATAAAAATGTTACATATATATTAAAACAGAAAAAAAAAAAGAAAAAAAAAGATGGGATGTCTGTACTGTACATTGATTAAAGATTACATACTGCTCATCATTTGTGGTAATATTGTACTATACATCTTCTCACTAACAAACTATGTTAATGAAAAACTATATAATATGATACAATGTGGAAATACTCATGACTGCTGTGTAACTATTTCATTTACCTATAATTTCAAGAACTGGGATCGACTATGTATTCCCTGGACTAGAATGCAGAGTTAATTAATTTTGCTAAATATTTCTGCTCTTTGTACACATTTCCTTACAGACAAGAAGAAAAATTTCTCAAGCAAGCATTTACTCACACCACAAGTTCCTCACTACATCTACAGTGCCTGGTTACCCTAGTTTAGACTAATCACACATCTTACAAATACTGTACACACAATCTACTTACCCTGCCACTGTCAAATTCCTCATTGTACAAGTCATCTGATGTTCTCTTCTTTATCTCCCTCCGGTCTTTTTCAACCTCGTGGTCAAGAGCACTCCTGCCTCCACCCCAGGTGTTGACTGCCAGGTGAAACAAGTGGGTTTATTATGTGGATACTTATAATCTGAATTTATATAGAAAGTCACGTTATCTAAAATAAAAAGAATGATTCAACAAACTTTCAAGACGATGAGATTCCCTGAGAATACTGAATGGGGTTTTCTTACCCCTATATTACCTACACATTAAAGTCAATTACTATAAGATGAGAGAATCAACTAACATACTAACAGTGCATCAATTTACCATATACACTATGAAGATTTTAGCAATTATATATATATATATATATATATATATATATATATATATATATATATATATATATATATATATATATATATATATATATATATATATATATATATATATATATATATATATATATATATAATACTCACCCTTTGTTCCATAAGCATAGTTTCCGGCTCTACGCAACTCATCCACTACGTCGGTAGTCCGACTTCCGTCCCACATTCCAGATCTTCTTTTCTGAGGCTCTCTAACATTTTCTCTTTCACGGTCACGACTCTGTTCATTGTCATGGTCACGACCTAGTGTATGGGACAGATCTCTCATGTTTCCATTCCAAAAGACAACATTAGCACTTGGATTTGTTCTAGCCTTCCCAAGAGTTTCTTTAGTCTTTTCTACCCAACGCTCAGTTCCTTCCTTATCACCTTCGCCGTCACTTGATTCGGAGTCCGACGATGACCCAGAGAGGCTTGAGGCTGACACGGAGGAGGAGGAATCGTTCTGGGTCTTTATTGTTTCGCCGTTGTTACTCGATGAAATTTTACTTTGCTTTTGATCTTTGCTGCTTTTGCTACCCTTCTCTCCCCTTTCCGCACGTCCATTTTTTGATTTCCCATTTTCGTGAATGACTCCGTTTTTTGAAATATCAGAGTCACTACACTGCACGTTTTTTGACTTTGCCTCATAGCAATTACTTGGACCGTTTTTTGAAGTATCGGTATGAGGGCTAAGTCCATTTTTTGATACTTCCTGCTCGCTCCTCTTGGATGATTTGGCCTTGACTTCAGGACAACATTTCTTTGATGGACTTGAAGGTTCATTATCATCATGGTCTCTAAACCTTTTACTCTGGGAATTATCTGTTTCACTATCTGAGTCTGATTTTGAGCTGTGATGACAATTCTCACTGTGAGAGATAATACCATTCTTGTTTGAGTCGTTGGAGATTTCTTTCTTGCTTCCTCTGTTAGCGGGTAAACTGGAAGTACCATTAACCTTGCTGGTCTTGTCTTCGGTGTTGTTGATCTTTGTGCGATCACCGTCTGTGGATTTATGTTTATTACAATCCTGTGTCTCCTTCTGGGGATGTGAAGCCTCTGGCTGTTCATCTTCTGGGCTTTCGGGACTGTGAGATGATGAAACACATGTAAACAAAGAAAGGAGTGACTTTTTCATCGATTTGGTTGAGCGATCAGAGCGACAGCTATCAACACTGGCTTTGCTTCTCAGGCTTGCAGAGTCTGGTTCATCCTTTTTATGAACTGGGCTTGGTAATACAGAGTCATGTGATAGGGACTTTTCCAATTCTGGACGTTGCCTTCTGATAGTGACTGTCCACCCTTGGTTTTCAGGTTTTTCAAGTACCTGACCTTGTTGCTGCTTCTGTTCTAACTTACAACTAGTAGGTTGGTCTACCACAGTGAAAGTATTGGTATGTGATCCACCAGCACTACTACTACTACTTTCACTGGGTGAGTGTAGAGATGCCTCTGTCACCTGCCACCCTGATTCACCCTTTCCTTTACAACTTGTACTGCTGCCAGCAGAGTGATGCTGACTGGTGTTATTTACTACTTGTAGCGAGCGTGGCATGAAGGGTGTCAATGAGCCATTTTTACTGGAACTGTTACTTTTTACACTACTGTCACTTTCGGTATTCTTAATATCACCATTACTTAGTTTTTCTGGTTTCTGTACATGCAAAGATCCATTCAATCTTTCACTTTTTATACTCTTAGCATTAACTGCTTTTATAACTTTCTGATTATCACTTTTCACTTTACCATTTTGAACAGACTTTTCCCTGTGTGCTTTAACAGACCCCCGCTTGGAATCATCAACCTCCGAGTCTTCTGAATCATCTGGGTAAGGAACTAAACTAGGCACAGTTTTGGGAGCACAAGATGGTTTGCCAGATGTGGAAGTTGAGGAGGAGGACCCTGAATTAGTGACACAAGACTTGGAACCCAAGAGAGATGTTGTGCCTGGGTTTAGAATGATCTTGTTGGGCTTGCTGTTGGTACTTTCACTTTTACCCTGGCTAAACTTTAGTCCAAATGATATTCTCTCCCTGCAAAATAAAGAACAGTTGACAGATGAAGAGATAGTGCCAAAATAACACACACAATAATCTAAATGTCATACCGTAACCTTAATAATATCCCACAAATATGATCTTACTTATATGTATTTCCAAACTAAACTTGTAACACTTGATGAGACTGAACCACTCACCTGTCTTTGTGTGTTGATAATGGAGGCTTATTGGATGGGGCTTGAACACCATTTCTATTTCCAAGTTCCCCGATGTTGTCAGTGGCACGGCCAAAGCCATTCGCCACTGAGGAGGCGCTGTGACTGGTTGGTATGGGCTTAGAGACCAAATCAGAATTTTGACGGATTAGGGCTTTCTCGGAACTTTGGCGAACTACCTGTTTCACCTGCATCAACTCCTTCGGTTTTCTCACCATCTCATAAAATAGGATGTAAGGATTCCTCAGTAGTGCGCTCTGGACAGATATAGACCGCACCTAGAAAGACAGTAAATCATCTTAACATTACACTCTCCTGATCATCAATCTAAGACTTCAAAAAATGAGAGCCAACTGGTATTGTTATTATCAATGCACATAAAAAAAAATATTACAGTTGTTCAATTCTCATGGCTGCCCCAAAAATTTTATTGGTGAATTTATTATGAAATTTGAGGAGCTAAAAAAATCAATATTGAATAAGGTACAGAAATATTATATGTATTTCCTCCTCTGCTGACTTCAGAATGTACTGTATATATGTTTGAGGAAATATGTTAACTGCTATCTATTTACTGCTGAAAGTAGACAAATTAAGGAACTTCAAAGATAATTTATTCATATGAGGAAGATATTTTGCTCTACTGAACTGGTAAAATCTGAGAGTACCATAATTGGTAAATCAATCTACCCAATGGCCAGTGTTTATTTGATAACTTATGGAAAAAAAAGAAGACAAATGACAAGGAGAGATATACCGTGTATCAATGAATTGTATGGAAGAAAGGAATGAAGACAAAATAGAGAGAAGAGATAAGTACCATCATCATCGTCACAATTTTACGGTTTTTTCCACACTTACATGGGTTGGCTGTGATTACCTGATGGCAGCACCCCATGTAGCCTCTCTCATCAGGTTCTTTTATCTGATGTTATTTCTTATAGCCTCCTCTCCCCACATTCACACTGATGCACCTCTTGACCCAGTTGGTCTCCTCCTTTCTCCACATGCCCGAACCATCGCAGCTCATCTCCATCCAAAACCTCGCCAATATTCTCAATACCCAGCCACCCTCTTAGCTCTGTGCTATATCAAAATACAGAGGAAAGGAAGGAAAAATCACAGAATAGAAACAGCGATAAGTACTCACAGATGAGTCGTCATATTCAAACATAGTACCGCTGGATGCCTCGGCTACGGCTGTGTAGTGACCGCCATGCTGTGAACCACCGAGGTGAATCACCATGGATGCTAGACGATACTGGTATGGTCCACTACCTGTCTGGTGTTTGCTCGCTCCACTCACAAACCTTGAGATATCTATTGTTCTTTGAATACTTATGTGTTTTCCAATTTTGCCACCAGACATAGTGAATCTGAAAATTACAAACTTGTGAAAATTTCTTGGCCAAAGCAGGTCATCCAAAGCTTCAAATGACAACAAATGACAATTATTTTCTTGAAAAGAAAACTAAGGCAAAATACTGTACCTCTTGAGCTGTATAAGTAGCACGTGAGGTGCTTGTTCTATGAGGTGTCTCTTGGTGGCAGAAACCTTCTTGTGACAACGCTCACATTTATAGGCATTGTCAACATCAAGAGTTTCCTTCTTGAAGTGGAGATTGAGAGCATCGTCAACACTGTTGACTGAACGGATATCTAGCACCAGGTCTTGGAAATGGGAAAACGTCGTGGACACATGTCGACACAAAGGGCATATCACTGCAAAGAGTAATGAAAAAAGGTGATGAAATAAAAAAAAGAAAAGACTTCAGTTCGATTGAAAGCTCATGCTTGATAGAAGCATTGCATGTACAGTCACGAACATAGCTCCTGTCGTCTCTCCTGCTGCTCCACGAACCCCAAGATTCAGACCTGTGATCCCAAAGCAGTAGACACAGATGCATTATTCTGCCCAAGGATGCTTCAGATTCACGAGTCTGAATCTCGGGGTTCGCGGAGCAGCAGGGGTACTACAGGACTTTTGTTCGAGACTGTACAGTCATGAGCAATATTCGTGCAACACTCTCTCCCCACACATTCACTCTGACATTGACCGTGTGATATACAATGGGGGAGGGGGGAAGGTGTTTACCGTGTTCTAGTTACCCCAAAATTTTTTGACAAATATGAGGGCAGAGAGGTCCAACCTCACGCCGGCAATGAAACTACAATATGTAGGGAGTGTTGCAAGACTACTACTACTCATGAATGTACAAGAGCACCATACAGTCATGGAATACTGTACTCCTGAGCCCATTTTATCAGCACTGTGCTGTATTGGCCAGAAGACCTTGCCCAGTGCTGCCCAAGACATATGTCCAAATAATTTTAAACATACTGCTCCCCCTGGGCACTACACCAGTCTGTGAACTAAAAGTTAACTGGAAAGGTAGTTTCTTAGATATTATTTAAGTTCTAAATAGATTCTGATTTTGTATTTTAACAGATCAAAATGCTGTAGCCCACTCACTCATTAACTGGCTATAATACAGTATAAACAGACATACATTAGGTCTTCCTGTAGCCTCCAATATAGCATTGCAGTACTGCATTTGGTACTGTATTCAAGTAGAATTGTTTGATATTACTAAACAGTACTGTCCAGTAACAACAACTGTGTACTGTACTGTTTTATTGTTAGTTGGGCACAGGACCATCTAAGGTGGTGGCAAGAGCAGTTAATGTGCTGCAGGTGTGGTGCCCAAAAGGTGTGGGTCAGTAGGGTGGGAGAATGGTATAACTCTTCTTGACATTTACCATTGTGCTGTGCTTGAAGACTAGTCCAAGGGGATGCATTTTCAAACTCAACTTTTAATGCTGAATAAATGAAGCCATGGCATGAATGTGAAGTCTAAAGTAAATCAATCATGAGAAAATGTTGATTACTAGCAGACACTAATGGGCCAATGACAGATGATAACACTAGTCATCCTGGGCTGAATTGTATTAAAAACTCAACCATTTCAGGACTATGAATGCAAATTATATTATGTTCATTTTAAAATTTACAGCTGCCCCAAAATAATCAGTTGGTCCACATGCTATAGTGAAATACATCCACATGTGTGAACATCAAAAATATAAAATATTTAATATTTTTTATATACTGAGGTAAAGGTGCACGTTAATGCCTAATGCCTTCACCTCTTCTCGATACAATACAACCTTCTGGAAGGTGAGGTATGTGCATACTGTGTGTGTGTGTGTATGCATGTAAATATATGTATGTATGTATGTATATATGTATTGAGAAAAGAGAGAGAGACTGTCTTTTTAACATGACAGGCGAGCAAAATAGCAACTATTAAGGCGAGCATAATATGACTACAATTACTAATACAAAACTTGCAGCCTTCTAAATATCTTAGGTTTGAACACTCCATCACATTAAGATCCACATTTAAACCTCCAAGGGAGGGAGAATAAGACCTTTCAGTTCACTAGACAATGTACAAGAATCAAGACAGGATAATAGGATTAAACCCTTGTGTACCAGGTCCTCTCTGTGCTGAATAAAACTGTATTGGGTTAGCCAAATAAAACATAAAAAGAGACGTCCCCATAGTGAGGGGGTTAAACAACTTGACTGGCACCAATCAGAACTCCTAAACAAGATGCAGTATAAATGACATAGGAAGTGTACTATCAAACTATCCATCTATTGCACTGACTCCTTTCCAGCTTTTATCAAACAACATACAGTATAGGTCATAAAATCCCCTTCTGTCTAGTACATGCAATTTGAAGATACGAGCAAGTGTTTGCGATTGATTTTACAAACTGTCTGTCTTCTTTCTTTCCCGTCAATTTCTACACCCACCTTGCACTACTCTCCCTTATCATGCCCCCCTTCTCTTCACGTCTCTGTTCCTCCCTATAACCCACCCTTAACGTAATATAGGAAGAGGCGTCCACGCTAAAAATAATAAAACACTTGATGAATTCTGATAACACCAAAAGAATGATAAAAATTAATTCAAGGTTGAAGGAAATGATGTTTCTATTATTAGTGAAAGAAGATTACCTGAATACATGATGTCCTACAAGTTTGTCGACCCTCCTGACAGTTGGCGAGCGATAGAAGAATATACTCATGCCCCCGTGCTTATTCCCTTTTCTGACACAATCAGCAAACCAACTTTCAGGACCCCAGTGTATCTTTTAATGTTCACTTGTTCAGATAAAAGCGTATACTATTTCAATGGTTTTTGGGAGATGGTCTTCAACACTTAAAATGGTACACTTCGTAATGAAGAAAAACACTTTGCCATTAATGTGTTGTGAATATATATATATACAGTATTATATAAGAAATTTTGTTATTTTTTCATATATTTATCTATATCTCTATGATATCCTTCAGATTTTTATTGTTCTTACATGAAACATCTTAAGAATATGTGCACAGAAAAGACTTAAGTGTCTAATGACCAGGCAGATTAATTAGGATTAAAGTATACAGGTAGTATAATATTATAAAAATACAGCACAAAACCTTACCTTCAACTACTAATCAGTCACATAAAAAAAAATACTGTATAAAAAAAATTGATAAAAAATTACAAAATTCTCGACTCAAAATGTAATCACTTGGCTTTTGTGTTAATGCAATAATCTGAAGGTAAAAACAAATGTCCTTCACCAGGGGCTCATCTATAAATATATCGAATTATGAGTTGTCCCAATACTACCGGACATTCAGTAGGAGGGCCACACCTCCTAACCCTTCGATAGTTTCTGTCCTCCATCACAACAACAATCACACCAATATACTTGCTGCTCAGTCTACAGCACCACACATCCTAACCCTTGAAAGTATCTATATGAATAATCCTCTTAAGATAACACAAAGCTAGGAGTAACATAATGTGGGCCTATGTATTCTAGAAGCACTATAGATAACAAGTAACATTATTACAAACCATTAACTGTCTTTATTACTATTTTACACACACAATAAATAATTATAGCAATTCACAACTAGTAAAATCATAATAAACATCACATTTTCTAACCTTAGTCATCAAACATCATATCTCTTAACCTGTCACCAAACATCACGTCTCCTGGCTTTACATCACATTACAAAGATACGCTTCTAGGATTTATCATTTAATCAACTGGTGTCACATAACTGGCTAATCTAACTGGGGTCACATAACCAGCACATCTAACTGGTGTCACCTAACTGGCTCATCTAACTGGTATCACCTAACTGGCTCATCTAACTGGGGTCACATAACCAGTACATCTAACTGGTGTCACATAAATGGCTAATCTAACTGGTGTCACATAAATGGCTAATCTAACTGGTGTCACATAACTGGCTAAGCTGCATACAGTATCTACACCCAGCACACACAGAACTAATTTTCTTAATGCTACTCTATTTCATCACAGCTCTAAATATTCCATCAACCTCATACTCCTCTCAGCCATGTATATGTCTTTCTATTTGCAGATGACTTCTCCATAGTTACTCTTCTTACCTCATTCCCCTACATGCTTTCCTTCTGCTGCCTCTCCTCCACACCTATAAACTATCTTTAAATTTATCTTTCTTTACACCAAACAAATTATTATGAGCATATTTCTCACTTTTATATGTTTTCCTTACGCCTTGCACCACCCTTAACGAGTCTATTTATCCACAAAATGACCAAGTTAACAAACCAATGACTGTGGATCATTTATTTGGTGGGGTTAAATTATGATACCATGATAAGCTTCTCCATAGTTAAAGAAACTCTCTGGGTATTCAACCACCACCCATGAAAATCCCCTTTATTAAATTGTTTCCGCTACTTTTCAAATTATGACATGCATTTCCGTACCCTCTATTGGACCCATTTCTCAACATTCCATAACTATTCCTTCATTGTTATAACTTCCTTAGCAAGTGCCAATTTGTGTCCATACATACCAATACAGTGCTTCTGTCTCACTAACTTTTGTTTTATCTCTATTTCTGTGTCTTTTTGCCTTGCTATTCCACTTCCACAAAATATCTGGTGTAATTATATACACCCTAATATTTTCTCATAACTCATACACTCCTTTGTCCTCTTTATGATTAAAATATAAACTGCACATATTCAAACTACTATAGATCATTACCCACTACAAAAGCACTATGTTTTTACTACGAACATTATACCTCAGGCCTAGAAATTCATGAAATAGGCACAGTGACCAAAAACATAGAAGGGGTAAAGCACAGAGGCTGAAGATGCTGTTTTATTATGATGAACATCACAGCCAGTAAGGGTAAACAATGCCCTTGGCTGCACTGAAATTCCAAACTCGATATAACAAGTATATTAGCTGATACCTGTAAAAAGTATTAGTAATATAAACATCATATTCAACATACAGGTACATCTCAAGCAGGTTCCCCATTACTAGTCCACTTATAAAGGACCCACCAGCCCAGCCCACAACATTGTTTCCTTATTGTTTTTCCAATCTTCACAACACTCGTCTTGTTAGTCACACACATTCCATTCACACTATTTCCTTAAGTTACTCTTCACTGTCTCCTATTGATAAGCAGTTGGTACATACACGATTGTGAAACTATTTCCCTTTTTAATGTAACTCGCCTAATCATAAACAGTACCACATCATGTTATTGCCACTTACCCACCTCACAAATGGCAACGCTCTTCCCCTAATCCATTCACACCACTATCATCAAATACCAACCTTAGTCACTCTTTTTCATTCACTTCATGTTACAAAAAAATCATCACATAAACATCACTTATCCCCCTCCCCCTCCCCAAATTAATTCTTCTGGCTCATGTATTCAGTAACCAGTCAAACTGAATTCACAAAAAAATATTACATCCAAACCAGTCATCAAATATCACCTAAAATATCTTGGTTTATTTCATCAGTAATCTGTGAATTCAATTTTACATAAAACAATCACATCCACACCGCATTCATGATATACTGTACCACCTAAAATCAATTGTCTCGACTCACTAATCAGTCACTGGTATAATTACTCACTGTAAGACCAGCAGGGCTTGTATGTATGCACCAGAACCATATGTTGTTATCTTGCTCTGAAGAATTAGTTACAGAAGCCTTAGAGGGCAGCATGTCTTGTTAACTCCATTTATCCCATGCTTTTCTTACAGCAAACAGACTCTAAGTCGCGCATCCAGTCAAATCACTCTGTACTTCTCATCTCTAACTGAGAGCAACAGGATAACAGCGTCCTCAATCTACTCCTCTATAGCAGACAATGAAGAATTGTGACCCTCAACTGCTATAATCTCCCTTCTCAGCAGGAAACCAAACGGGCTGAGAACCATGATCTGTTACGGTTTTCCTTTGTATTGTGCATACTTCTAAAAAAGTAATCGCTGGAAAATACAAAAGCTTTTCCAAGCTTGTCTTGTATATGGGACTCACCAACACTTTTCACTGCTCTGAAACAAAAACACCAACAAAGGTGTTAGGATATTTTGCCAAGGAGTATCATATATTTCACTCTTACTGCACGCCAATTTTCCAACTGAGAAGCATATCATGAATTGTTTACATATCCTGAGAGAGCACCTGTCTGCTAAGTAATAAAAAAGGGTGACCGACCAAATGGGTCCCAGATTCAAGTTACTATAACCATTACAATTAAGAGCCCACTCCTAATGGTTCGGTATGGGCCTCTTATGACTGGGACCCATTTAGTCTACAACAGGTAAATGGTGATCCCACCGCTATGCAAACTATTAATGTGTCAAATTCATGAAAGTGAAGAACAGACCATTATTGCATCTGTTAATTTATAGATACTAAGGCTGTTTGTTACCTGCACTAGAGGAACTATCAACCCTGTTATCTAATATGTCTTTCTCTATTTTTTTCTTTACACCTCTATTCATTATACAGTACAGTATATCATTTCATGATACAAGGTAACAGCCTTATTAGGGAGTGTTAAACTTTGTGTACATACAACAGCACCTGTAACAAATTAACCACAAGCAGAGATCTATCTGTCCAATGCATCTTATTATGATGAAGGTGGACGACCAGACTCAGCACAAGCCAAAATTGTGGTCCTCTATCTGAAATTAATGGTGAGGAAAAATTACAAGTGATAATGACAAGGATAAACCAGACTGATACTTAGGTCTTTGTTGTGAAAGGGGACACCACAGAAGTAAAGTTATACATATGTTAACAGTCATGACAGTGAATGAAGGGAGAGTCTTTGTGTGTCCTCCAGCCACCTTGCCTTCTGGTGTGGAGGATAAACACACACGCCAGGGAGCAACAAGAACAATCCCCTCGGCATAAGGTTGGGCACCAAAGGATGGACAAAGCATACACTACCTCCACCTTTCGTTGGGCTAGAACACCTTTTACGGAACAGAATCTAGTGAGAGCTTCGTAACTTACCCTGCTGTCTAATGTAACCTCCAAATATTTGATTCAGAGGTGTGGTCTCCTTGGAGCGATGATCGAGCTTAGTGGCTCTCATGAACGTGAGGTATGATTTTTCCATGTGATCCAGGAGCAGCTTGATGAACTCGTGGGCGTCTTCTTGCCGTCCATACATGAGAGTTTTCCCTATGCCTTAAAAGAGGAACAAATGTTGATATTTTAAATACAAAATGTCGTTTAGAGTGAGGCATGAAGAATGATGTAACCCTAAAATACATGGAAGGTAGAGGTGTAACTCAAGAGAAAAGAAGAGGAAGAATATAAAAAGTTGGAGCTACTTCATATTTTTCCCGTCTCTGCTGACGTACGAGTAATATTTCAATAGGATTCTGATCTTTTAAAATGTTAGTTTTTGCATAATGTAGTATTCCTTATATGTAATTTGTCTTAGTATGTCTTATTGTGGGTAAAAATAAGTATATATTAAATGCATTCACAGAAAGCATCACTCTGTTACCAGAGTATAACAGTTAATTCATGTACAGGGAAGCTTCGGATAACAACGGTTAGACCAACAATTTTTCGTATTTGAAACCCAAGATAATTTAGGACCCAATTTAGTTTACATCCTTATTTCATTCGTATTTACGACCAAAATATAATAAAAATAAAATAAAATTACATTTTCATATAAAGAATAGCTAAATCCCGATACGTATTATAAAAAAACAAAAAAATTACTGTAAAAATGAAGAACGTCTTACGCAAAGAAGCTGCCTTGCTTATGAGTGGTAAACAACAGTCGGAGCTTGGCGGGCCTTTTGTTTTCACGCATCTGGAACAGGAACTGGAGAAAAACTTTCTCAGGTTTCTTACAGCATTTTTGCATCCCTATTCAACATGAGCAAGAGAGCAAGTGATGGTAGTGTTGTTTCAAAAGCTAATAGAAAGTGTCTAAGCTTAGCCGAGAAACTAGATGTGTTAAAACGATATGAAAAAGGTGTGAGGTCTGTGGATATTATGGAGCAAGCAATGAACATATTTTCTGAAGTGGAACCATTAACAGAACAAAGCATTAAAATTTAAATAAATGCAAATGACCTCTACATAAAGATGAATAATGAGAAAAGAAAGCAGCTGTGCAAGGTTCTTTCAAGAGCTTTATTATTCGAAGGCCTAAACCATCAACTTCAGCTACACCATCAAATTCAGCATCATAAGCAGCTTCAACATCAACTTCAGGTTCAGTAACAGTTTCAACAACAGCTTTATGAAAAGCTACAGCTTCAGCCATAGTTGAACCTGATGACTTCGTCATCTGAGTAAAAACTCGCACAATATTCATTGGCTGTCCTTATGTTTTAGACTTTACCACCATTGGCGAATAGAATTTTAGTTTTACATTCGTAAATATTATTTAAAACATATATGAACAGTAAATAAGTGTTGCTTTCATATTCATATGTTGAGAAATGACGATATGTTTTCACATGTACGCACTTACTGTTCATACGTTGGTGTTCCCAATCGTCTCGCCTTATTTCTTTACCATTAGTGGTTAGCTACTTCGATTGTTCCATTTATTAACATTAAATAACGTTACTTAAAACATATATATAATTTTTTTTTACATTAAACTATCGTCCCAGACTCCCGGCTGTAAACACAAACAAAAACAATGGCGTCCCATCTCCTCTTGTGTGACCATATTATTATTCATTTATATTGTATAAGGTGCATTCAGAAACATTATTTAAAGAATATAGTTTGCACTTTTCATTAATTGTATTGTTTTAGGGGGAAAAGAGGGTAAGAAGCCACACAAAAGATATGAAAAGGTCACACTTGGGAAAGCACCTCATTATTATTGCTTTATTTTAATGGTAATTAATGATTCGCGATAAGACGATTCACCTTACACTGTAATATTGGAGGACACATTAACGTCGTTATTCGAGGCTTTACTGTATAAGATTTACCTAAATATTTTTCTCGTCGGAAACGGTCATCCCAAAGATTATGAATAAACTCATTTAGAAAAACATCATTACTTCAGGACGAAATCAGACAGGTTTCCAACAGCCAAAACTCTTGAGGAGGGGGCGGGGCATCTTTTCTTAGTTGAGAAAAAACGCACATTAGGAACATGTACAGTGACTTATGTTTAGTCACTGAAGGGACTAGGGAGTGCAAAGACAATTGTAATACTAATGTCTCATCTGACATGGGGGGGTTAAGCACCTTGTGTCACATTATGATTCCTTTGAATAAGGTTTCAGAGAATGAACAATGCTGTTTTGTTATAAGGCATCATGACACCCACAATTTACAAGAAGTTGTTTGTATAATGGAACAATATCATGCTTTGATGACAATAAACCAGGGTTATATAAACTTCCAGAGCTTCAAGCATCACACAAGACATTTTTCTTTCCATGTAAACATAATCAACATACAGCACTCTTCTTAATGGCCCAGAATTGTTTTCAAGATTTTATCGTCCATCAAGCAAACCTTGATGTCTGCTGTACCATCCTCACAACATTGCTGTATCTTGTTCCCATCAATATGCTGACCTGTACTGTACACCACACTACACACACTTCCAATAAATCTACTACTGACTGCACTCTGTGTTTTCTATTGTCTCCTTATAGTCCCCATCACAGATACTGGATCATAATTTTCATCAGTTTCTCTGTCGTGTTTTGTTTAACCTTGGCCAGGTGTGTTTAGTCTCCAACACTACATATTTAAACGTTAAATTCTTTAATAAATCCACTATCATCGTTTTATTCTGATGGTGTGGCAAAAATTTTGTTTGTACATTTCAAAACTCTGATAGACAAGCTAGTCCATCAGCTGACAAAATGAAGTAACATCAGCTGGCAAAAACACAATTCGAATATACAGTAAACTTCCTCTAATCAGGGCTAATTGGGGGGAAAGGTTCTGGTTTGGCCAAAATTCCAAGTTGGGCGGGGGTCTGTATTACGAGGTATCTACAGTTCAGTATATTACGAGGTCTGTCCAAAAAGAAACCAAACTTTTTAAAAAACATATTTATTGCTTTACTTACAACTTAATCAGACTTGTCTCCTTCAAAGTAACCCCCTCCACTGTTGATACACCGCTCCCAACGTTAATTCCAGGTCTGGAACGTGTTTTGAGGGATGGTGTGCAGGTCTCGTAGCGAATTTCCTTCTATCGTCTGAAATCGGCGACCATTCAGGGTGGATTTCAATTTTGGGAACCAAAAAGTCTGCAGGGGCCAAATCCAGAGAATGGGGTGGCTGTAGGACAATAGGCATCTCATGCTTCGCCAAAAAGTCATGGATAAGGAGCGACGCGTGAGCAGGTGCATTGTCATGGTGCAGCATCCAGGTCTTGTTTGCCCACGCCTCAGGCCTCTTCCTTCACATTGCCTCCCTCAAACGCTTCAGGACCTCCAAGTAAAACTCTTTATTGACTGTCTGACCACGTGGAACAAACTCATGATGAACGACGCCCTTCAAATAAAAAAAGACGATCAACATCACCTCCACATTTGAGCGATTCTGACGTCCAGATTTGGGATCGTCTTCGGTGGAAATTCTTCCCCTTTTGAAACGCTCGTACCACACATGACATTGAGTATGGCTCAAACAATCCTCCCCATAAGCCTGTTGCAACATTTGAAAAGTCTCCTTAAAAGTTTTCCCAATTTGAAACAGAATTTCATGCAAACACGTTGCTCTTCAAGCTCCTTCATTGTTCAACTTGCAACAAATCGCCAAGTGCACTAAACACACGTTTACTCTAGCACGTGTAGCTCGATGACTAATTGACGTGGCGTGATGCGGCTAATGTTAGACTAAAGGTCAAGGTCACCGCTACAGAACGCTCCCGTCACGAGCACGCTGTGCCAGCTCGTTGGCACGCTATTTAAAAAGTTTGGTTTCTTTTTGGACAGACCTCGTACAAGGTGGATAATTCCAGAGGATAGGAATTTACGATTCAAGCTACCTAAGAACACTAAATCTACTGTAATTTTCAGCCAAGTCTTCACAACCTCTGGGTTTTTATACACCATATGAACGTTTTTTAGCCGCTTAGGGTTTCAACATCTGTGGAAAAAAGTAAAATTTTCCTAAGTCTCTCCTATGCTCTCAGCAGTTTGGGGTTAATTCTCAGCACAGCTGTACTCGACAAATCACCCATCAGCTGGTGTTGACGGGCGCTCTCATATGCATGACAACCATCTGTGCTGAGACAGCATTCTCTCAGCTCCATTCGGGATTATTTGGGTAAAAATATGGAATTTCTAATTTAACTAGAACTGATTTTAAAGACTCTGGTACAGTATAAAAGTTTCTTACTTGTTTTCATAAAAGAATTAAGTTCCCATCACGTAAAAATACTTTTGTGTGGATCTTTTTTTTCAACCAATCTTGTAGAGAATTTATTCAGGATCATTATGGTATCAAATTCATCTTTCTAACACAATTAGAACAGATGCCATGGCTAAAAAATTATACACTTTTTTTTTGCGAGCCGTAAATATTTTTGCTTGTGACCGCAACCGGATATAACAGGAGAATCGAATAAAGTAGAAGTGTGTTTCTTATGGTATACATTATTACTGTACTGTAATATGTCTGTTGATGAAAAATACATGTTAATAATAAAGTACTGTGCTTGTTAATAATTAAATTATCATAAAGCAGTTGTGTCTTTAGGAGATGAGGCGGTTGAGGCAGGAAGTGATTGTTCAACACTCACAATGTACGCTATTTATATTTCTTAAGATACTTCGTCTGCCTCCTCAGAAGCAGCTGTTGCGTTACCTTCCTGTGGCAGTCCCCGCTTACACCAACTTTTCCCCACACTAACCGGGAGTTTGGTTGTTTTTCCGGATTGGGGTTACATGTGTCCGGTGCTGGACCCCAGTCCAGTTTGCAAGGGGATCCGGATTTAACGAGTCCGGGTTAGAGGGAGTTTACTGTAGTACTGTATTCCTGTCAGATGAT